CGACTCGTTTGGACTCGATTAAGCTTGTTCGAGCTCGATTAAACTCGTTCAAGCTCATTTGTCTTACTTTTTTAATTTATACATAAATTAAAAAGAAAATTTAAAATTATTTTATTTTAAATTGATATTTTCTTTATTTATAAATTATAAATTTATATGTATATATAATATTTATAATAAATATATTATCTTAACGAATATTCGCGAACAAAACTCGGGTTCATTCGTTAATCAAACAAGTCTGTTTATGCTGTTCGGATCGGCTCGTTAACGTTCGTGAACGAGCTTTAATCGAACCGAATCGAACCGAGTTGAGTTCACGAACAGCTCAGTTCGTTTAACAGCTCTAATGGCACGTCTATTCAATGTCAAGAATTGAGTCTTAGGTTGTGTGCATGTGTTTTTTAATGAATTTGTTCGCTTAGAGTCTGTTTAATTTGAATGAGGGAGAGGAGGAGTGAAATTTTAATAGAAAAAAGTGAAGGTGAAGAGAATAAATGGTAGTAGTGTGTTTTATTCCTATAGAAGAGAATAAAAATGAAATAATTTTACTATTTTATCCTTATATTATATAAATAAAAAAAAATTTCATAAAATTTGATTAATCCATTCATAAAACATGATAGAAAAATTATTTGTCCAATATATTGTAAAATATATTTAACAAAGTTAATTAAATTTATTTTAGATCATACATGTAAATGTTTATTGAAATCAAACTATAGGAAAATAATAATATACATACAAATAACAATAGTTATAACAAAATTTAAATAAATGATTATAAAAAATAATTTTATAATTTATTCTAATTTAGAAATATGTATTTGATTAAATCAATTATTAAAATCAAATCCAATCATTTAAATTTGAATCAATTTAATTTTTTATTCAAATTTTTAAATTATAAATATAACTATATACTACTTTATATATAATTTTTTTAAAAATAATATTACAACTATACTTATTAAAAATTTTAATTAAAAATATTTTAAAATATAAGTATAATTTAGATATATGCACAATATTTTTTAATATTTATTTGATATAAATAAAAGTAAAATAAATAAATAAATAAATATTAAATTATGAAGATGCTATAAAAAAATTTTAAAAATATTAAAAAGTATAATAGGTGATTAGATAAAATTGGAAGAAAAAAAAAAGTTAAAAAGAAATTACCTCGGCGGATGCCCTCACTTCTCCTACCCTTAAAAAACAGAACAAAACACACAAATGGTGTGTTTATTTATAAGATTTTGGTTTTAAATAGTAAAATTTTGAATTGAAATAGTTGTTTGATGTGATATAAAAATATATATTGATGTGATATTTTAAATGTAAAAGTTAATTTTAGTGTAATATAATAAAAAAAATAGGTGATTGAATTGATATTTTTTTTTTGAAAAAAAAAAAGTTGAAATAGTAAAACCCAAAATCAAATCTCACAAGTAAATACACCCAAACTTTTTGTAATTTTTTCTACATATTTTCTCCCAAAAATTAATATACTACATAAACTCATTATTATTATTATTATTATTATTGTTGTTATATTGCTTATACAATTCCTTATATTTCATATAAAAATATTTTTTTAAAACCAAAATAGAAAACAACACATTGCTCCCTCTTCTCCTCCCCTCCTAAATTCTCAAATGAATTTTCAGTGTTAAATGAAATGATTCTCCATAAATATTTTTTAAAAAATATAATATTTATATATGTTAATACAATATGTATATTATATATACTTTACACACTTGGAAAAAATCAATAATTCAATATAAAATATTATTTTTTATATTACCAACATAAATTTTCATAACTAGCGTAAAAAATTAAATCCATTTAAAAACAGAATGAACAAACTCATTGGTTGTGTTCTTTGTATTCCCCAAAAATTAAAATAAAAAACACTAATTTATATGGGTTTGTTCACCCAATATATATTTTTTTGGGCATAATTCTATATAAATATTATAAAATTGCAATATATACTCGTATTAACTTAATATATATACTATATTCATTTATAAAAAGTAATTTAACACAAAATATTATTTTTTTTTATATGAACTACACAATTTTTTATAATGAATATAAAAATATAAATTCATATAAAAACATTAATATTTACATTTAAATTTAAGGATAGATGTTTTGATATTTTGTTTTTACAAATTTGTTTTGTATGGAATTTTAGATAATTATATTATTTTTTTATATAAAATATTAGATCCAATAATTAGTTTATATATATATATATATATATAAATGAGCACAGCAATATTAAAACAAAAAACTTTAAATCCAGATCCAAAGGGTTTGTTTGGTTTTAATTGGAGAATTTCAATTCAATAATGTTTCATATAATATATTGTAAGACAAAATAATATTTTAATTTTTACATAAAGTGGTACCAAATTTTTATTATTAAATACGTATATATATTTTTTTATGACTAGATCTAATAGTTTATATATAACTCAATATATATTATAAATTACCATATTTTTTGTATTGTTTAATAATTATTTACTCTCTATGTCCATTAGTGTAATGTTTATTTTACCCTTAACATAAAATAAAAGTGATGTAAAAACAAGTCGAGCAAGGGATGGTCTGGTGGTGTGACTCCGCCTTTCTTTCTTTCTTTTATATTTGCCCTAATTTTGTAACAATTGAGTCTTGGACCTTTTTGTTTTCTTTTCCCACTAATTATATCAATTTTATTATTTTTCTCTTGCAAATTATAAATAAATAATATATGCCCAAATCAGGTAGAATCTAATCAATATCAACCAAATATCGCAAATAATATAAATATCATGCGATTTATGGCTATCAAATCTCCCCACACCTAGATCATGCTTGCCCTTAAGCATAAATTCGAAACAAGCCAAAAGAAATTGCATGCGACTCAATATGACAAGAAAAGCTAACTCAACCAAATCAATTGGAAATTCAACATATCAAGCCAAGTCAACCTCACAGGATAAAGTGTATGCGCACATGCTCTCTGAAAGAAATAAGTGTGTATAATCAGCTAACGCTCAAGGAGTGCGACAAAAGATTATCCCATAGGCTGGAATGAAAATCAAATCTCCCTTCCTTAAGATACTCAAATCTAAGATCAAGAATCAAAGGGACATTTTTATAAAGGTTTTAACGGGGCTGATGGTTAGGGGTAGGAAAAAGGATATGCGAAGGCTAAAATATGTTAAAAAAAAAAAATACAATAAGAACAAGATGCTAGCATGTGAAAAACAGTTCGGCATAAACAATGAAACCTTACTTTATTCACTAACCAAACCTTAATAACATAATTATATCAATAATACTTTATCAAGATTTATTTATTATATATATATATATATTTGGGGCCCTTTTTGTTTTTTTGCTTTTTTTTTTTTAAAATTTTGTTTTGGCCTTTCTTTTAAATAAATATATATACGCCTTTCATTACCCGTTTTCATTGAAGCAGACACTTTTGAATGCATTATTTATTTATACTCAAACTTCGTTTTTAACTGGTGCCAAACAAATAAGATGCATCACAACGTGAACTTAAGATAATTCTTTCTAACATATGATTCAAATCGGAGAAGGCTTAATATCAAAAGAAGGGTATGCGGCTAAAAAAACGGTTTAATATAGAAGAAAAATAGGCTAAAAAGTCTCAAAGGGCCTAACTAAGGGAAATATATTGTGCTTGGTGATAAAGAAAAGCTCAATGGGTTACCTAATGCCCTTATCATTTTCAAAATGCAAGACTCGATAGTTGCAAGTTCAACATGCATAATCACTCAAGTTCTAGGTCATTTAATTGAGCACTACAAATCACACAAGAAAGAATTTTCAAAAACTTGATAATATGTAGTTTTATTTTCTAATGTAAACTTTTTGGAATATTTACTCGAATTCTCACAGGGTTCAAATATCAACTTGACTCAACATATTTCACATCCAATGTCATCAATCATGTCAGACTAACCTATCACTCAAATCACTTTTCACTCACTTCAAACAAATCTCAAAAAACATGCAAAAGGACAACGAGTCAGACATCAAAAGTAGCACAAATGAAAAATTTGTCAAAAAATTTTAAATTACTCTCTCTCCCACACCTAAAGCAAACATTGTCCTCAATGTAAAAAAAAAAAGTAAAATAAGAGAGGAACTTCCCTAGAGTCTGTAGGATTGGTGCGATTGCATGTTTTTGCTTTGGATTCTAAACTTCCTTAATTTGATTGTGCGTCTCTTTTAGCCAACACCAAAATTGATAGCTCAGGGAGGAAGAAGAAGAAAGATGGCGGCTTTTTTTTTTTTTTTTTCAAAATTCTCCAAGAAGTTCCCTACAAAAAAATAACGAATCCAAATCAAATAGACGATGTTTAAAAATATTTAAAAAAATAAAACAAAAACTAAAGAAAATAAAAGAAATAAAGCTAGAAAACTTGGGTTGTCTCCCAAGAAGCGCCTTTCTTTAACTTCTTTGGCTAGACGTAGTTACCATGTTAGCCATTAGGTAGTACTACTTCAGACCGTCTTACCCACTTCTGTGTTTGTCTTTTACTTCCATATTTAAAACAATGATTACTCACAAAAAATTTCTTTACAAGATTCACATTATCATTTAAGTGAACAGGCTCCAACTGATTCAGATGCGACTTCGATTTTATGTCCAGGATAGATTTCTCATGCAATCTCAAGACTCCCTGCATAGTTTTGTCAATAATATTCACACTGCACAACACATTAGATTTTTCAAGGTAGTTTATAGAATCAAAAATATTAAATTGCACTTTCTCACCATCAAATTCCATAGAAAGTATACCTTGTTTCACATCAATTTTAGTTTGTGCGGTGCACATAAATGGTCTACCTAGTAAAATTGGTGTAGGATTTGGAGAATTATCATCATGCATATCAAGCACATAAAAATCAACCGAAAAAATTAATTCGTTAACTTGCAATAGGACATCTTCAATCATTCATTCAGGGTAAGCATTTGCCCTATCGGCTAATTGTATAATAATTCTAGTTTCTTTTAAAGGCCCAATGTTCAAAGACTTATAAACAGACTTAGGCATCATTGTAGCTCCTAAATCTAACAGTGCTAATTTAATCTCCAACTTACCTATTTTACAAGGAACCGAGAACATACCTGGATCTTCACATTTAGGAGGAAGCTTACGTTGTAAAACAAGAGACACGCTCTCGCCAGCAATAATGCATTCGTCTCCACATAGCGTCTTCTTGTTTGCACAAAGATCATTCAGAAATTTTGCATACTTCGGAACTTGCTTGATTGCATCCAGTAAGGGTATGTTCAATTCCACCTTTCGAAACATCTCCATCGACTCTTTATTTTTGTCATCCTTCTTTGGTTTCGCCAACCTGCAAGGAAACGGTGCAACATTAGTTTTAGTATTAGTAGGTGTATTGAAAGTTACTTTGTTCGATGTTTCAGTGGCAGGTTGCTCATTCTTTCTCAATGTCTTCCTCATTCTTGTCTTTTGGAACTCCAATCTTTGATACTTCGGAATCTTTTCCATTTTTTTTTTAACAATCGAGCTCACATTCCTTGGATTGCCGTCGGGTCGTGAGGACAATCTGCCTTTTTCTCTTGACTTCATCTCGCACATCTCATTCGCTATTTGACTTACTTGTTCTTCCAAGTTCCTTATGCTATTCCGAGTTTCCTGTTCAAATTGCAACATGTTAGACGGCATAGTTTTCATCATATCCTCTAAGAAATTACTCGGAACTGTTTGAGCAGGTTGTGGAGGGTGGTTAGGTGCTGGGAATCCTTTCGAATGATCTCCAAAGTTAACTTGTTGATTCCTATACTTTAAGTTCGACTGATCATTCCATTCTGAATTGTAGGTATTCGAGTAATGGTTGTATGCTCTTGGGATGAATCCTGCAGCACTGACATCTAATTCTGGACTCAAAGTAGGACAAATAGCAGTAGGATGTTCCGAACTTGCACAGATCCCACAAGCCTTAACTTGTGACTTTCCTACAACAAATTGTCGAACAAATGAAGTCAGTTCAGTCAATTGTTGTTGAATAGAACTCACCTCACTTGCTTCTTTAATTGCTACTACTTCTCTTTGTCCAAACTGTTGTGAGTTCATCGTCATATTGTTCAGTAATTCTCACGCCTCTCTAGGAGTTTTGTTCATCATGGCCTTTCTACTTGCTGCGTCTATGATTCTCCTATCGATGGAACTCAAACCTTTATAGAAATATTGAATCAGTAATTGCACGGAGATTTGATGATGGGGACATCGAATAAGTAAATCATTAAAACGGTCCCAATATTCAAATAAAGACTCCCCTGTATGCTGTGTCATTCCGCATAGCTCTTTCCTCATGATCGCAACTCGTGAAGCGGGAAAGTACTTTTCGAGAAACTTTCTCTTCATGTCAGTCCATGTAGTGACGCTTCCGATAGGTAGATTGAATAGCCAATCTCTTGACATCTTTCAGTGAGAAGGGAAAAACACGAAGCTTAATTTGATCTTCTGTTACTCTTTGTGGCTTCATATTTGTGCAGATAACATCAAATTCTTGGAGATGCTTATGTGGTTCTTCTCCTGACAACCCAAGAAAAGAAGACAACAAGTGTATTAGTCCTGATTTTAATTCAAAAGCACTGTTACCATCTACCGTCGGATATGCTATGCAGAGATGCTGCTGAGTCAAGTTAGGAGCTGCCAGCTCCCTTAGTGTCCTTTGATCCATCTCTTCTTCTAGCTCTAACTCGTCAGAACTCAAATCGCTATATGATTCTAAAGCTAAATCTTTATGGCCACGCTCCCTAGTTTCTTTTCTTAATCGACGCGCAGTCTTCTCAATTTCGGGATCGAAACTCAATATTCCTGTGCGATCAGATCTCGACATAAACCAGAAAAAAAAAATCAGATTTTTTAGATAATAGATAACAACCAAAGATAAATAAACCAATTAGAATTCCCCGGCAACGGCGCCAAAATTTGACAGGCGTTTGTCACATGCTGCAAAATTTAAAATAAAATAAACCTACTTCTGCAATAAAAATAACGTAGTATAGATGAAGTAGGGTCGTCTCCTCAGAGAATTAAAAATTTTTTATTTTTGATAGTTTAATTTATAAATATAATAAAAGGGGAGATTTTGGAAGTAGAAAATAAAAATAAAATAACAAACTAAAAACTCTACGACTAAAAGATAAATTCAATAAAAACAAATTTCCAGTTTAGGAATAAAATTGACAACTTGGGTAGTGGATTTGATCATCGATAAATATTTAATTTTATTGATTTCTAAATAAATTAGTTATAATTACCGACACACGCATAATAACCTACTCTTCCTTAATTCTTGACAGTCTAAATACGCCCATCAACTGCTTCCCTTGTTAGACTAGAACCCTAGTGACGCCACAAACAATTTATTAGCCTAACAGCCTTGCGAACTAGAAGAGCCTAATTCAATTTAACAATTAACTATGCAAAATTGTTTAAAATTGATTCCGTGATTTTCTAATGTTGTTTGCCACTAGTTGCTACTTGAACCAAATTAAAACGCAATTATGGACGTCTAATTTAGTTTAGCAATTAATCCTTAATTTAATTGAAATACCTGGCCACAATACCCAACCAAATAAAAAATTATAAGTTAAAGAAATCAGAAACCAAATAAATACTTAGGAACCAAAGAAATATCATAAGTCAAAACAAGTCTAATATCTCAAATCCATACCAAGTTATTTTCCACCCCTAGACTATAAAAGTAAACTACTCGGTAATCATAGGAGGAAGAGTAGAACTCAAAATCTTCTTTGAGGAATCTTTCTCCTTCTTGCCCTTCACCGTTTCTCTCTGGAACTCTTCTGCACGGTGTTCTCCTCGACAAGTGGCATAAAGTCGCGCCTCCCCCTTCTTTTTTTCCTTTATATTTGTTCTAATTTTGTAACAATTGGGCTTTGGACCTTTTTGTTCTTTTTTCCCACTAATTATATCAATTTTATTATTTTTCTAATGCAAATTATAAATAAATAATATATGCACATATTAAGTACAATCTAATCAAAATAAACTAAATATTACAAATAATATAAATATTTAACGGCATACCATTTATGACTATTAGTTTTCATTAAAAATAAATATTAAATACATATCTATTTTACCATTTAAAGTTGTCTGTAATCAAATATTTTTATTTTTAATTTAATAATATTATTTTCCACAAATGATTTTACATTTTATTTAAAATTGCGGATATAAGATTGTTTAAATTTTACAGTCTATCAATTATAAGTTAAAAATATTTTTAGTTGATATATTTGTATATAGAGTACTATTTAATATTATATATAAAATATTGTGTTTATTTTTTTATTATTTCAAATTTAAATTAATAATATTCATCAAGTATAATTTTTAATAAAATATACTATTTTTTTATCTCAAAAAATTACATCAAAAGTAATATTTAAATTTAAATCAATAATTTATTTTAATTCAATTTTCAACCACAAACAAACAATTAAACGAATAATTATAATTTTCAATAAAAAAATAAAAACATATATTTTATGTTTTCAAATAAAAACTAACGAATAATTATAGTTTCAAACTAATTTTTTAATAAAAATAAACGCATACATATAAAATAGATAATTATTTCAGTTTGGTTTTCAAAACACACCAACTAACTAACCATTTATTAAGCACGGCCATTTATTAGCTGAAAAAAAGACAATTTCTCCTTTACCAATATTAATACACTTTCTCTTTCAAACCAATCAATGTATTTCATTAATCACACGATATGTAAAGTAGCTTAGTTTAGTGAGCTAATAATAGTAAGATAATATTATTTTTTATTTATTTATTAATTAAGAAATGTATTACTAAAAATAATTATAAAAATTAATATAACTAAATAATTTAATTAAAATTAAAAAAAATTATAAATTATAAATTTTAAAATATAAATAAAGTGTATAATTATATTTTTTAAAAAAATTAGGTGAAACAGACAAAAATAAAAAAAAAAAAATTTATCACACGATATTTAAAGTAACGTAGTTTAGTGTGTTAATAATAGTAAGATAATATTAGTTTATTATTATTTTTTAATTAAGAAATGTATTACTAAAAATGATTATTATATAATAAAAATAATTATAAATTAAAATTAATATAACTAAATAATTTAATTAAAATTAAAAAATATAAATTATAAATTTTAAAATTTGATTAAAGTGTATAATTATATTAAAAAATAAATTATGTGGACAGAAAAAAATAAAAAAATAAAAATTTTATGTGGGTTGGAGGGACTAATATATACATAATTAAAATTAATTTAATGTATACATTTAAATATTTAAAAATTCTATCTCAATAAAAAATATATAGAATATATATGTATATCAGTTTGTGAAAAATAAAATTTTACATAATAAAAATAAATAAAAATATATATTGCTTTACGGTCAACATAATTTAATTTTATTAAAAAATGAAAAATTTTAAATATAAATAAAAATATTAACTTATTAAGTATAGATAAAAATAAAAAATTTGAATAAGTCTACATGATATGTTATATATTATAAAGTTAATTAAGTTAATTAAAAATTTTGAACGAGTCTACATGATATGTTATATATTATAAAATTAATTAAGTTAATTAATACTTATTAAATACATTTTAAATGAATATAATTTATAAGAAATAGGAACATATCAACTAAAGTTAAATAAACTAAAAAGGAAAATGTATTAATTGAAAAGTAATTTTTTATATGCAGTAGGTTATCTCAACATTTCTTAATGTGACAATTCCCAAAAATATTATTTGAAAAATACAAATATACACATTTATTAATATAATATATACATTATTTACTTATAAAAAGTCAGTATTCAATAAAAAATATTATCTTTTATATTACTAACACAATTCTTCGTACTACACAAAAGTATATTCATTTAAAAATGCAGAGTGAATAGACTGATAGTATAGTTTTAATGATAAAATTACAAAAAATATCCCACATGCATATCACATTTGTTCTGTAGTTATTTCACTGATAAAATATATTCTACATGTTTGCAAAATTCGCTATTTTTATCATGTGGCCGCATGTGATCACTAGTGACCGCGCATGGTGTGAACGTCAAGCACGGCCAAATGACATAAGTAACGAATTTTGTAAACATATAAGATATATTTTGCCAGCGAGATAAATACAGGAAAAAAATGATAATGTGGTATAGTGTGAGATATTTTTTTTTGCAATTTTTCCTAATTTTAATAGTCTTTTTATTTACTGTTTTATCCTTATTTTATATATAGATTTTTATATAAATGGGTAAATTGTTTTTTTAGTCTCGAACCTCCTTATCATTTTAGTTCCGTAAGTGGAATCTGTCGCAAACTAGTCCCATAAGTAAAAAATTTTCAATGTTTTAGTCCTCCAGCGCCAGAGACGCCCGCGTGGCTCGCCGGAGGCTACGTGTCCGCCAGGACGGACACGTGGATTTTGTTATTTTTATTTATTTTTTATTTTTTAAAAATTTAAATCTAATTTTATTTTCCTTATTTTATTTTTTTATTTGGTCCAATTAAAAAAAATTAAAAAAAAATTAAAAAAAAGATAAAATCCACGTGTCCGTCAGGTGTCGCTGACCTGGCGGGACACCTGGCGGAGACGTGGCTTCCGGCGAGCCACGCGGGCGTCTCCGGCGCCGGAGGATTAAAACAACAAAAATTTTTCACTTATGGGACTAGTTTGCGATATGCTCCACTTACAAGATTAAAATGATAAGGGGTCAGTTACGAGACTAAAAAAACAGTTTACCTTATATAAATTGTATTTAAAAGTATAAAAAAACTAATGTAATTAAAGAAAAATTGGGGATGTTTTTTATTTTACATATAAATTAATATTATTCAGTCATATGATTCTAAGTAAATATATAATTTTTTTTTTTTTATAAAATATCATATTAAAATATTATTAGATCAAAATTCAAATAAAAAACTTAATTAATTTTAGATCAAAATTAAACAAACTCGATATTATTCCAAATCTTACATAATAATAAAAGTTTTGATACAGTGGAAGTGTAATATATACATA